AATAAATAAATGAATCTAATTTTTTTTTCATTTCCAGAATTCCCTGAATTTGGGTTTTATTTATTGAGTCCATTTCCATTTTCAGGCCTTGAACAGTTTTATTTGTTTCCTTCTACTCTTTGTGTTTCCTGCATTTCTTAAAGGGATTTATTAATGTCCTCTTTAAGGACTTCTAACATCTTCATACAGATGGTTTTGATGTCTTTTCCTTGTGCTTCAGCTATGTGGGAGGGCCTACTGTGGTAAGATAGCTGGGCTCTAGTGGAGACATATTACCCTGTTATCGATTGGGTTTTTATGCTGACATCTAGGCATCTGGAATTGGGATGATTATATGTCTAGGTGCTGATTTCTGGGTTTGTCTTTGTTGGGTGGGTGTTTTGTTCCTTGGTTTCTGTTTCCTCTCCAGATTTTTGGAGAGTATGATGTCCATGTGTTGCCTGGAAGGACGTTTTCTTTGGATGTGATAGTTGTGGCCACTTAGGTTTCCAGTTAAAAATGTGTTTCTGGGTATTGGGAGCTGACAATTAGGAATAGGAATAGGCTAGGAGTCCGAAGAAATTCACAGGAGGAAGGAGAGCAGAGTGTTCCACCAGGACCTGTTTATTTCATCTTCTTAGAATGGGGGAGACAATGAAGAGAGGTCAGCCCAGAGGGTCTGCTAGGGTGCTACTGATGAGACTGGGATATTGGATCCAGAGGAATATAAGGAGAGAGGAAGATCTATAGACAGCATACCTACTTCCTTGGCAGGAGTGGTCTGTGTGTTAGTAGGGAGTTGTGGCTAGGATAAAGCAACAAGTGGAGAGGGGGCTGTTAGGAGGGAAGGTCTGTGGATCCACAGGAGATGTGGGCAGAGGAGGAAGGAAGACTGTAGCAGGTGTTCTGTTGCAAAGATAAGGATGGGACTGGGGGATTGGTTTTGGAGGAGAGGAGGGAATGATGAACGTCTTACAGTTAGCTTACCCATTTCTCTGGCCTGCTCAGCTCATGTGCTGACAGGGAATACCTGCAAGTGTTACAGTCTGGGATACTGGGATGAGTTGGGGGAAGGAAGGTTGGAGGAGGAGATCTTTGTGATCTGTTGGGGATGGAGTCAGGGAGGAAAGAGAGACTGCATCAGGTTTCCTGCTACAGAGCTGGGGATGAGACTGGGGTGGGGGTTGGATCTGGAGGTGCAGAAGAAGTGTGGATCTGCCTTCAGCCTTCTTGTTGCCCTGGCAGGAGAGGATTTGGGTTATCAGGGGATGGCTGCTAGGGTTGGGGGCTGGGATGAAACAAGGAGCGAGAGGAGGGATGCTTACTAGTTTTTAATCTGAAGGAGCAAGGCAGTTGTTTACAGTATTAAGTGAGAATCACTGTAGAAAAAGGAACCCAAAGTGCCCGTGGACATAAAATGGTATTTGACCTGATTTTAGCAGAAGCTGCTGGGTCTTATTTCCAGCACAAGCATGTTTTGTAGCTTGTAGCAGGGCCTCACCCTTATGAATCTTAAGGAAGCATTGTAGTGTAAATGATTGAATAATTCACCACATCTGAGAAAAAAGAGTCACACCAAGAAGGCCTTTGCTTGATCAAGACTGATGGTGTGAAATCCATCACACACACACTATGTGCTTTTCTGTGTGTGGATGTTTATGGGTGTTGGGTGTACATGTGCACACAGGTACATGGGGAGGTCAGAGGGCAACCTCAGGTGTCATGCCTCGGACACCAGACATTACTTTTGTTTTTGTTTTAGCTTTCATTGGGACCAGGAACTCTCCAAATAGGCCAGTCTGGCTGGCCAGCAAATCCCAGTGATCTGCCTGTCTCTATCTCCCCAGCACTGAGACTGCATGCACACACCCAGCCTCTTTTAACGTGAGTTCTGGGGATTGAACTCACACCCTAGTGCTTTTAAGGTAAGCACTTTACCAGCTGAGTTATACCCTTACCTATGCTTTCATTATAGGCTGGCCCAGCAGGCCCTTCAAAGCGCTGAGAGCCAGCCAGGGGAGGACTGGAGGTTTCCAGTCAGACTAGAAAAAAAGGGACTGGGTTTCTCTGGGAACTGTCCAGCTTGACAGTGAGGCTGAAGACAAAACTGAGAAAACCAGACATGGAACTTAAAATGACCATGGGGCCTTTAACTGTCATGGGAGATCCCACAAAACTTACTGAAAGCTAAATTAGACAACACAGTTGATATCTTAGGAAAACAATTGCACTTTGGCAGGGTATACCAGAGGATCTAAAATGACAGATTTTTTTAATTTCCATGATCGCCTCAGGGAAGGCTGAAACTAACCTGGCTCTGTTTCTGCAATATGTTTCTCAAACATGACTCCTTGGTCCACTGCACAGTTGGTTGCTATAACCATGAAGTTTATGCTGACGGTTTTCTCAGCTACACCCTTATTTTCTTGACTGTTTCTCAGACATAATTCTGGGGTTTCCAGTCTTTAACTAGTTGAGGGCTGAAACCTTTATCTATCAGCTGAAGTAGCATTTTATATCATTAGGATGATTTGTAGTTTTGGAAATTATTCATTTTTAGTAACAACCAAGACAGAAGAGCATATTTGTCTTTGTTGATTATCCAGTTGGTATTTATTCATTTTATACTGCTGTAGTATGAATCCATTCTTGACTGTGTACTTCTCTCATTTGTGAATGATGTGAAGGTGAAGGACATAACACCCATTCTATAAGACCAGAATTGGAATGTCAAATGCTTTAAACATAATGGATACAAAATCTAAGAACTTAATTCTAACAAAAAGACCCTTGAAGAGAGATATTAATCACCAGGGCACCCTAAGCAAGAGGGACTCATTCCATAGTTCTTGCTTAGATCTGGAAGGTAGGAAGTTGACAGGTTGAGATAACCCCAGGCACTGCCTGCTTCCCATTTCTCTTCTGTGTCTTTTCGGCTTCCCCCTTCATAGATTCTCCTGTATCTTTAGTATACAAACTCCAGAGTAAACCAACTTGATTGACTTAGTCTATTGTCACCTTTCTAGAACACAGACTTCTGTGTGAAGCTCTTTAGTGGGCCATCCACCCACCTCAGAGGTGCTCCTGAGCCCCATCATTGGCTGACTCTGCTAAAGAAACAGCTCGTCCTTCTTTTTTGGACAGTGGGCTATTATTGGGATGTTCACATTAGAATGTGATTCTGAGTCTGGCTCCTGGGGGAAGAATTGGAACCAGTGAGGTACAAATGTAAGATGAGAGATTCAGCTCTATGTGGAGCTTCGTAAACATGGAATGAACCACAGACAGAGAGATGGTTAGACTCAGTGACGTTCCAGCCTCCCATCACCTGTGTTTTTATTTTTCTTGCCACTTTTTTTGTTTCTTTCCAGCACTGTCTAATGAAAATCACCCTTTTATGTTACTATTATAAAGAGCCCTGGAGATGATTGTAATACAATGGAATTAAAATATGCCCATATTTTGGAGACAGTAATGTTCTTGCATTAGCTTCTTAACCAAAGTCAATTTAACGTGTGAAATATTTATAAATTAGATTTTGATATAGTCAGTAGCAATGCTGTTCAAGAAAGGGAATGATTTATGTAGTATACATGAGGTATATTAGCAAACTGCAGCACAGATCCTTCTTTTAGATGAAGGAAGATATGTATAAGACTGTTTATCATCTGAAGTTATTACAGAGGACATTCCAGTGACTCCAGTGCCACATTTAAATTCAGACATCAGATGGACTGAGTCATGTAGGGCAGATTTTGGTGATGACTCTTCTGGTAATTGTCTGAGCTGAAACAGAACTGAGTATTCAGTATTCAGTCTTTACTAATCACTCCGTAAAACATTAACCCTCTGACAAACAAATACAGATAAAATCCAAGAGTACCAGGATGCTTCTGTTTCTCCTTTCAATGTAAGAACAAGTTGACACAGAAAAGACAAATAGATGACAAAGTCAGAGGACAGTCTGAAAATTAGACCCTTGCCTTGCACCTTATTTGAGACAGGGGCTTTTGTGTGTGGCCACGCATACCAGGTTTGGATTGAGAGGTTGTGGAGGCTTTCTGTCTCCACTTCCCATGTCACTGGAGGAATTCTAGGGTTACAGGCATGAGCTACTATGGGCAGCCTAACATGGTTCTGGGTATTCAAACTCAGGCCTTCACCACGCATGCTGTTCCACTGAGCCATCTTCCTAGCCTGCCTACCTAGAGTGCAGCTGGGGTTGAGGAGCACTTAGCAAGACCAAGTTCATGCTATTCATGGAAAAGGGTCTGGAATTCCCACTTCAGCTCTTCTCTCTGTGGTCTGCAGTTCTGGTTAACAGTGGCTTTCTAAACAATCCTGTCTGTGGTTTTTACTCTTTCTGATAGAAGAGAGGTATTAAATAAACACACTATTCAAGCACTCCTGTTTGGTGGATTCCATTTAATTAAGGTTTTGTTCTGTTTAGTTCCATATTACCTTACCTGTTTTTTCTGTTTGCTCAGCAACCCCTTTATTTCTGGTTGCCATCTTTTCTCAACCACCTTCAAAACCACCTCTAAAATGGAATTGCATTGCCAAAATCTCTGGTATTGTCAACCTTGATCAAATGCTGAGTTCTTCATTGTTGGTTCTTTTCAGCCTGTATTAGATTCTTGCCAGTAGAATATAATGTGTTGATGTATTACCACGAAGTAGCAGAGAAGAATAAAATCCAGTCCTATTCTTTTATTTTTTTGATTAGTGTGCACAGTTGTTTGCTTCCATTTAGAAGTAATTCAGATTTCTCTGCCACACTGAAATGTAATTGGAATTAAGTTACCTTTTTTTCATTACCCTTGTCCCTTAAATTGCTTCAAGTTCTTGGAATTACTAATGCCTGCAAATGCAATAATGTTTGGTTGAAACCAATCATAGAATTCATATGTATTAAGTTCCCTTGTTTATTTTAGGTTAATAATAAAAAGGAAATCTCAGCTTAATAGAATTGACTGACCCCCAATAGTTTACATTCCTTTGTGGGTTTTTTTCCTTCTCAGGGATTTCTGTGATATTCTCCAGTGACACCCAGTACCTCTGCTTGCTGAAGGCTTTGACCAAGGCTACTACCAGCTGTTAACGTCATCCTGAGAAAAGGAGGACATAGAAATCAGGGACGCCTTGGGAGGTTTCTGACCAGTGGATCTTCTGAAGGTGAGAGCAGATGACTTCTTTTTATCCTTAGTAGTTAGATTAATGGGTCTGTGTGCCACAAACGACTTCTTCAAAGAATGAATAGGAAACTGATTCTGAGACCTCTCTGTATGAAATGAAGAGATTTTCTTGGGGGGGGGGGATTTTAGTTGTAAATGAATTGGTTATTTAGCAAAATTGGAAGTTATTTTAAGTAAAACTTTGATCTATGAAGATACATTTGAGCATATATATATACACATATATACATATATACATATATATACATATACACTCTTAAGCACATCCGTAAAGCAACAGCAACAAAAGACCACAATATAGCTGGGTGTGGTGGCATACCTTTAATACTATCACTCAAGGCAGAGCCAATCAGAATTCTGCGTGTTAAATGTCAGTCTGGTCTGCATAGTTCCAGGCCAGCCAGAGCTACACAGTGAGACTCTGTCTAAAATTAAACAGCTCCACCCCCCTCAAACAAAACAAAACAAAACAAAACAAGCAAACAAAGCACAGTAGTATTGCTTTATTTCTGAAAATTCTTATGTATCTAGCTAGGGTCTGTCAGTCTTTATACATGCCATACCTGGCCTGCCAAGGATCAAACAGCTTAGATTATATGAAAGCATACTGTAAGCCTAAATATTTTTAGATAATAAGAAAACTAATCAGTATTATTTACAATTATTATAACCTTCCAAAATATTCTCAAACCTTTTAATGTGTTTCCCCCCGCCCCGAGTTTATCAGTAAACCTTGCTATGTTCTCATAAAGCAATGACAGTGAGCATCAACAATTATCTCTCAAATATTAGTGATAGATCTATAAAGAAAAGTATGACCCACTCCAGTAGGATACAAGCGTATTGATGGTGCATTGAAGACTGCAACAAGCATCTAATGTACCCCAAATCTGGAGGATGGTGTTTGGTAAATCAGGCCCCTGGAGATGAGCCCTGAAATGGCTTTTGAAAGATGAACAGAAATGAGCCATATAAATAGCAGAGGCAGAGAGAGTGGTGTAGGGGTGAACTGAAAAGAAGTAACAAGGTCCAAAGAAGGCAATAACTACAAATCTTTTTTAAAATGTAATTTAAATTAGTACTTAAGTGTTCAATGTTATTTCTTAATACACTCGACACAGCTCACGATCTTACCGATTTCCATTTTAACATTGTTAGTTGTTTCATTTGTATATGTAGTTATTGGTCTTGTTTTCTTAGCACAATAGAATAGGATGTTTCCTAGGGACCAACTTGGAAGCCTTTTTAGTTTGAGAAAAAGAACTTTAAAACATCGTTTACAAATGACACAAACCCTTACATTTTAGGAGCACTACAATTCACTATCATTCTTCATTTCAATTAGTGCCAGGTGCCAAGTATAACTCCTTTTCAGTATTAATTATGATGGTCTCTTGTCAATTCCTGATTTTCATTGCCTAGCACAGTGTTTGGGCATTGTTTATAGGAGACCCAGGGCCTTTCTTGAATTCTTCAGTAGGGTGGTACTAATTCCACCCCTTGGTATTCCTAGTATCCACCCTGAACATGGTAGAAGGATCTGTCATAACAGAGGCCTCAGTGTTTGAGAGTAAGTCCACCCCTGTTAGACTTTAGGCATTCATTACTCAGAGCCTTCTTTGAGGGAATGCCATGGGTAAAAATTTTAAATTCAAATAATACTTACAATTGTGCTATTTTGAGTGACTTTTATTGAATTATTATGGTCTTAATTAGCTTAATGACTTATTTTCTTAAGATGTACTGGAAAATTACAAAACCCCACCATTTTAGTCTTTATGGTTCACTTCATCATCATCCTTCCAGGATTGGCTCATCTGTCACTCTCATTTTCAAACACAGAAAATTAAATTAAAGCAGAATTTGGTAACTGCCTCAGTAGTGGCAGATGGCACTAGAGTCTTGGTCTCTGGAAACACACTGGCCTTCCTACAGTGTCCTGTTTTTCTCCCTCCTTCATTCCAAACCTCTTTGAATTGCATAGAGTGAATTATCTGGACATATTAAACTAGGGAATTGAATCAAGAGCTGATTTACACTGAGGGCAATTACTTTGGCTAGTTGCTCTAGATTTACCAAACAGATTTTACTTTAGTATTTGAGGCTGTGGTTAATGCTTTATAATCTTACTTTTATGACTCCTTTGAGTTCTACCTCGGACTTTCTTTTTGTTACCCTCTATTTTTCTATACTGCTTCCACCACTAAAACACTGGGTCACAATCAAACCATCTGTATTTAAATTCTAGCTGGAAAAAAGGACCTAGTGTTTTCAGAACTAATGTCTGTAAGCAGAAGATGTTTCTGATTTGTTCAATTACACTGAAGTCCGCTGTGGGTTTTATGTATAGAAAATGAATCTGTGGAAAAGCTGAGTCGCTGTAACTCAGAATGACGGCATATGCATGCAAGCAGTAGGTGGTCGTGAAGACAATGAGTTATTCTGTGCCCTTCATGGGATGGCCGTTCTCGACTGTGAAAACAGTAGGCTCTAAGTCATTAGGGTGTGTGTGAAACACATGATTCACTCACCCCCAAAGCTGCCAGGAGGAAAAGGAGTTTCCACGCATATGTGCAAGGCACGGGGCTATTTCTCTGTTTCACCCTCTTTGTCTTGGCTCTCTCTCTTTTTATTCTGTCTCCTCTCTCTTTTTCTGTCTCACTCATACTTTCTGTGTCACAGACACACCAACTTGATTCCTCTGAGACACAAGGTCCTTTATGGGTTTTGTCTGTCTATAGAACTAAATGGAAACAGCATATGCTGTAGAAAAGGAAATGGAGCTATAGGGAAACAGTGGCTTGTGCTGAAGGTTTGCTTGGCTACATTGCATGGAGCAGCATGAACTGGGGTGAACAGGTGTGGAAGTTATTGTAGACTGGGCACAAGATGGCACGGCATTATCAACGGGGAAGCTAGCTCTTACCACCATTTATCTGGCTTGGTGGTGGTTGTGTCTTAGATGGGGGAAGCACAGAATGTAACAGGACGGGGTGACTGCTTTCTGCCTAGATTCCAGGTGAGTGCTGCCAATACCAGTGTGTGTGTGTGTGTGTGTGTGTGTGTGTGTGTGTGTAACAACAACAAAAGCAATGTGTACAATTTATGTTAATTTTGAAGTTGGCACTTAAAAGTGCCTAGAGTCTGAAGTCAAGAACGGCCTCCTTCAAGATTGTCCTCCGAACATAGGACTCTTAAGACAAGGATTTTGAGAGGGGAACTGTTGGAAAATAGCAGTCATGGGTGAGTTGACGGGCTGACATTTCTGACTGGCAGTATTTCAACGGGCTCAAGAAACTTTTAGCAGGAAAATTTGTTATCCTCTGCCCTCTGTTGTGTGCAGTTTTATAAAGAAGAAAGGAAATGCTGAGCCACTGACTTTTGGTGCAAACTCAATCCCACCACAGAGGTCATAGACCTCACATCAGCAATTCACGCACAGTGTTGCTAGAGGACAATGGCAATGGATGTCTAATCAGATAACATCCTGCAGCATTTGAGTTTTCACTCTCCGCTGCCTTTTGTCATTTGGGTACTCTCAAAATTATTCCTCATTCAGGTTTACTATTAACTTTGGAGCCCCAGCTACCATGCTAGTATCTTGCTGGCCATGCTGAAATGAGAGTGGTGTTTAGAGAATTTGTTTTTCCAGTAATTGATAGAAGAGCAAAGCAGCATAATATGAATTAATGACTCTTCACATTTTCCCATCATATAAGCTGGATTCATTATCCCCGAGGGATATATTTTGGATTCATGCCCTAATAAACCATCCCTGCTAGCTGTTGATTTTCTACCCTTTTAAGAGTTGCTGCCTAATGGATAAACAGACAACAGTGAAGAATATACATTTTTATCTTAAACTTTGGAACATTTTTTATTAAAAATTTTCTCTTTACAATCAACACTATAATTATTAACACTATTTGTCTGAGGCAAGAGTCATCTTGAAGAAACTATCTTTTAATATGGTTTGGAAAATGAAATCCAGAAGGAAAGATTGGGGATTTAAACAATGGTTGAGGATGCAGAACCACAGACCAGGGCTTATTCACTGAGTGTAACACCATGCATCTAGAGGACAGGGCCATTGTTACTGTTATATACATCATATAGGATGATTTGGACATGGAGTTAATCATTCTGTTTCCATATTTCAAGTTTTCTCCCTCTCAGTCCCCGTCTTGGCAATCTAAGTTTTCATGTTTTACCTAGAGTCATCACGTTCATGTTGCATGCCACGTAAATATGTGAGAGAGAAAAAAATGCAATCAAAGAGAAACAGTCCAGGAGAGGAAATTGACAAAGGACAGAGAAACTATTCCTGTCCTATCCATAAATCAAAGCAGTATATGAATTTCTTTCCTCAATTTTATGTCTGGTTCCTTTGATATTAAATGATATGATCTGTAACTTATAAGTCCCTAAAACAGGTGTTCAGAACCCAAGCTGAGTCACTGTAGCAGAGCTGTGGTACCACCCACATCCATCTCCTTCCCTGGACTCTGGCATCTTTTCCCAGCTTCTGGGGGTGTTGAGCAGCTGATGGCTCATAGCTGGGTCTTTCCTTTCAGAGACTGTCTATAGCCTTGAGCTAAAGAAAGCTACCTCATCCATGCTATGCCATCAGGATGTATTCAAGCACTAGGCAACTTGGAGATACAAAAGCCTTTACCCTGATTCAATATAGTGTATAAGACCTGAAGGATCTACTAGGGCCTTTGCTGTGAATACCTCAGACCAACCTCTTCCACTGCACTTTCCCATGAGGGGTGAGTCCCATAGCGCTCACTATTAAAATTCCCATATGCAAAACATCATCTGAAAGTCCGACTCCAGGGAAATCTAACCTACAACAGTCACCACACCTAGACCATGCAGTGTAACTTATATGAGAATGTGGCTATACAGCCACACAATTTCAGACTCGTAAGACCTGTGAGAATATAGCCCAGAGCCTTCTCATAAAAAATGGAAACA